GGCATTAGTCACAAGTATTCACACAATTTTCGGCTTGTCCTATTTAAATATTTCAAAAATCAAACCGGCGTGTACAATTCTTTCAATATTTCAGTGCGCACTGAATATTTAAAGTAGTCTGATTTAATTCACGTGAATGAAATTGCATTTTGATATTTAGCTAATTTTTTTGGGTTTTCAGTAGGATCTGAGAAAATTTACGGATTATTGGAAATTTTGTGTTCTGGTCTTAAATTGAAATTTTTTCATTTTTGAGACGAGAAGAGGTTTTTTGGAAGTTTTAAGGGAAGTTGAATATAAGTATTAAAAAATGATGAGTGAAAATGGAGAAAGAATAAAGGCAATATCAAATGTATGTATCATAATCAAATCGATATACTATTTATTTATTAATTTCAAATTTATTCATGAATAAATAACGAAATTAGTGAAGAATCCCGGAAACCTAATTTTTCATCGCGAAATCAATTGCTTACAAAATCCTGAATATAAATAAATTAATCCCCAATACAAAAACCTCAAACATTAATTATTCATGAATTATTCATGAAAAATTCTTTTAATACTCAATAGTACTACCAATAACTTCAATAAAATGATCGATTTTTTAACGATTCCTTAACGACGCGGTATCTCAGAAAATAAGTAAAAATTTCTTGTTTCCAGAATTAAAAAATTGCCTAGAGATTTCTATCTACTGTATGTGAAAATATATTGCCGATTATTTAATTAAATGACTCGATCATTCATTTGTTGTTAACAAACAAACTTTAGTTAAAGACTCGATATAATATAAGCTAGATTGTTAATGTCCAATGTTGCTTGCTTGCGAGTTCGTCTCCAAGTGTCCCCCGATCATCAATTCGTCCAGGGTGTCAGGTCTACCCACTGGACAAGACCCTTTGTCTATGGGATTGGTCCACGTGTTGGTTTCCATTATTCGCTCTGATCAGTTACAAGTACAACGGGTCTCTTGTTCGTTTTAACGTCGAAAATATTTTCAACACTACCCAGGGTTGGATATAATGACAGACACCAGAGGACCTGACACTTCGATGCAATCGCAAATAAACTGGACCAAAATAATCCCCCGAAAATACAACAATAATTGGAGAACAGATAGGGAACAGACTCGGGATAAACGTCAATTCTTCGAAAACATCATGAACGTATCTATTGGGAGGGTAAATTAATCGTGGAGATTTTATCGGTGACTCGTTCCTGGAGAAATCAATTAATTGATTGAAGTATAAGTTAAGGGTGATGCAACTCCAATCATTGGAATCCGATTCCGTTCGGGGATTCAATTTCATCCGAGAATGAGATATTTTAATTGCAAATTCAGTTTCAGGCATTTGCGGTATTTTTTTTCTATTTCATTTCCATGAAAATCTAGTGGAAATTG